TAGACACGGGAAGATACGTAGTCGAGTATCTTTCGCCCATAAAAGGAGAATGAAAACCCATATAACAAGGATACACTCACCTCTAGCACACAATTCTCTTGCTCTCCTATCCCTTTTCACTCTATTATTTCAAGCACTGACTATGGTCACATGTCGATCAAGTTGACAACTACCATAATATGAACTCAACAGTTTTATAAAAATTCTTACTCAATGTTTAATACTAGGTAAATAAAGAGATATTGTAAATCAAAAGTATTTAGAGGAAATGAGTTCAAACCCCATGACGACAGCCTACTTTAAGAATTAATTTTCTCTGTGTTTTCTTGAAATATCGTAGGATCAGACGGTTGTCTTGTGAGGTTAGTTGAAGTGCGTTCACATTGGTTTGGAATTAAAAAAAAAAGTGTGAACTAAGATGGGTACAATACTAGCTCATTGAATACAATGATACAAATCCAACAACCGCCTTTACAATTTGCTGCCATCGCTGGCGCTGGGGAAGCAAAATTAGCAGCTCAACACCATCTGACTTTCCTTGAAACTCATTATTAACACCATCCCTCCACACTCCTATGGCTATATAAGGTTACAATAAAGGCCTTTGTACCACAAAGGGCTAAAAATTGATGGCAAAGAGCTCCAAAAGTTTGGGCAGCACATCCCACCACCACGTTTAAAAATCGTTTTTGCATAAGGCATGATTTAATATAACACATGCATTCACGCCTACCCATTATAACATTATTATTCATCATGAGGAGTAGTTAATTTTAGTCCATTTTTGTGTAAGACGTATCTGGCCACAACCACCAATGCTGTGGCGCACGTACGAATAGGAAAGGAAATCGCTTGGGTTTTTAATGACTTGTCTTGCTGAACTCAGGCCACTGAATTTGCCCTTTATCTCAGCCTACTATATTTGCTTCATCAATTAATTATTCTATATTCAGTCCTTTGAGTTCTATACATCTTTTGGGTCACTGTAATATCAACAAATTTACCGTTTGATTCATCCTCATTTGGTGTTGTCAAAACAAACTCTCGGGGTCAAATATGAATAGATAACTCAAAATAATTCATTAACGGCCCATTTGATAACCATTTTAGTTTTTGGTTTTGGTTTTTTTTTGTTTTTAAAAAACAAAAATCATATATGTTTGATAACCATTTTTTGTTCTTATTTTTAAAAAACAAAAAACCAAAACATGTTGGCAACCATTTTTAGTTTTTTGTTTTTAAAAATTTAGAAAATTGAAAATACATATTAGAGATAGAAAATTTTATGTAAAGTAGAGATGGTGTAAGTGCGAGTGAGGATGCTCTCCTCCATTATCAGGCTCGTGAAAATTTTAGTCTCCGTCTCTACCTCGTTCTTGGGTTCGAGAGATGTTCTCGAGAAAAATTATCGGTTTTATAATTGTTTTTAATTATTTTTAGAATTTAAATATAAAAAACTGTAATAAATATATATTAATTATTTAAAAAATGGAATGGGGGATGGGGACGAGGTCGGGACATGTATTTTCTATTTTTGGGACCCAACCCTGCGGAAATCTTTGTCTTCCGCTAATGTAGAAACATGAAAATGTAAATAAACTTTTGGAAGATAAATTTTAGATAGATAAATAAAAATATTTAGAAAAAAAATAGGTTGAGAAAAGTTAAAGACAAAAAGAGAAAAATTTTGGAGAAAAATAAAGTCGATAAGAAAAGATATGTTAAAGAAAATAAAAGAAATTATAAAGAAAGAGAAAAATTACGGTGGAAACAAATTTAAAGATAAAAACAAGATTCAAAATATAATTTTTATATAAAATAAATAAAAACAAAGATAAATAAAAGTTACAGTGAAAGAAAATTGAACGAGAAAATAAAATATAATTTTTAGAAGAAAAAATAGATTACAGATAAACATAAAGTTATAAAATATGAAACTTTCGAGTGAAAAAAGTTACAAAAATATTAATATTTTAGAGGGAGAAATGAAATTGGTCTGTTAGAAAAAAAACAAAAATACAGAAAATGTTAGAGAAAGACAAATAACAATAAATATTCAAAATATGAAAATTTTAAAGAGAAAAAATATAGTTCGTAGGGAGAAATTTAGAAATAAAAAAAATTTAAAGTGAAAAATAAATTTTTAGAGATAAACATGAGAAAGAAAAGAAAAAGTTGAGTATTATAAAAAGAAATGAGATTTTGAAAAAAAAATTATTTTTGAAAACTACTTTTTTGTTTTTGAAATTTACGTAAAATTTCAAAATGGTTTTTGAAAAACAAAAAACAGAAAATTGAATTAGTTATAAACAATCCTGTTTTTGAAAAACTAAAAACCAGAAACTAAAAATCAAAATAGTTATGAAATGGATCCTAAAAGATCAAGATAAGTTGTTATTACACTGAAAAATATGTAATCGTCAGTTGAATGACTCGTGACATTGATATTTATTGAGTTGAGGTAGATATTAATACTCAAGACATATGGTATAAACACTTTAATTTATATATGTATATATATTTTTTTTCCACTGCAACATAAGAGTGTAATTTTTCATCGTCCAGACTTTAAGTTCGATTTAAATTATGTTATTATTGTTATGGTTTTTCGTTTATGTTATGACTTTAAGTTTGGTAAGATTTTTAAACTTTTTCTTATGTTTGAAAAAATATATTAAATTTTTTTTTATATAGTTTGTAAAGTGTTTAAATAAGAGTGTTTGAGTTGTGAAAGTACCAACGATTTCATTTGTTGACAAGTTTTTTTTTTTAAACAAGTTCTAAACTAATAAACTGTTTCTTTTAGTGGAACAATATGGATAAATATTCGAATTATTGAAAATATATGTTTGGATCAATTATGCTACGTTTAAATTGGCTTAGAATAATAAAATGTTTGCTTCTCTAAAATGGAAAAATGGAAATGATATATAATGTCAATTCCTTAAATATAATTTCTAAAATATTTAAGATATAATATATATATATATATTTTAATACATGAGAGTATAATTCAAATTCACTTACTTTTTTATTGGAGATATATGGTTTAACCAATTGAACTATACTTAGGTTGACAATATTCATTTGTAAGATAGGTGAAATTCAAAAGACGACCTGTCGCGTCGTGCTATAAGATGAGATACCGTTGTTGCCTCCACTCGAGGGAAAGGTCTCCATTCCTACAGCAATTTTGTCAATGAACGCGTGTCTCGGACCACTCTCCCTCCGATTTTCTTGGGGCCCGCAACGAGTCCTCGTTGCGACCCTATACTCAAGGCTAACATTATATAACTCAATTGAGACATTGTAGAATAGGCTAAACTCATGGATCATGGACAATATCTCTCCCATGTGGCCTTTTTCCTCTAAAGGGGTGTGGTTCTTCAATTTCAATTGATTAATCGTGTTTGCCGTTAGAAGTCAATCGGTATTCTCTCGATACTAGAGGAGATCGCTACGATTGTTATTGCACATCATCAGGAATTGATGAAATTAAATCAACGGATTCCCCTAGCCTCCTGGATCCACTGGATGAACAAATCCCTAAATACTTCTTTATATTGTCGCCCAAATAGAGAGAACTTTTAGATTGGAATTGGGCGGACCCCACCCCAGAACGTCGACCAATTGAACTATATGACAATATTCTTTAATATTATTATTTAAACAACATGACTTTTACTATTTTTTTGTTACGTATTAATTTATGGAGTTCAATTTCTTAACAGTTTATTGTGGAAAACTTATTGAAGGGTTGGCTGCGCAGGTATTAATAATTTCAGCGGTTATTTCGACTCCGTGCACTTATTTACTCTATGGTTGTAGGTGAGCGAGTTAGGTGATTTTTTTCTTTTCTTTTTTTCTTTTCTCCTTTTTTCCCTTTTCTAGGAGTTAGGTGGATCTACTACTGCATCCAATTGAAGGATAATTAATTATTTTACCCGACCCTAATTGTATTTAAATATTTTTCAATTAGACATCTAAAGATTAGTTTTAAATTTTTTTTAGATAAGTTTTTAAAATTTTGGAGTAGTATATATAGCCTATTATAAATACATAAAGTCGAAAGCATAGAAACAACCATTTAGGGTCCTATAATTTTAAAGCTCTTTTCATTCATTCAATATAGAATGAGCTTTTATATATGGTGATAATATACTTATCCTATGATATAATATTTTGCAAAAATGACA